TTTTTTTTTTTTTTCTTCAAACCTTCGTGGTAACAGTTTGTTGAAAAGAAAGAAAATAAGAGATAGGAAAAAAAAAAACAAAGCAAACACCTTCCCTTAAGAGACCAGACCTGGAACTGAGTGCGGAGACTTCAGGATGAGTTCCAAAGGAGCTGATTCTGGCCCTCCGGCTTCCTTGTGGCTCCCTGGGGGTCTTGGCTGCCAGGCCCAAATTGGAGGAGAAGTCAGGATAAGCACGCAGGTTGAGGACAGACTGAGAGAGATGGAGCCCCTGTCCCTGGAGCAGTGGGTGCTGATGGAATGAAGGAGCATGTGTTCATCTGCTTATGCCTAAGTTCAAACGGTCTTCACTGAGCACCTCCAGTGCACAGCAGGCTCTGTGCTGGGAACAGAAACTGCCTTGCTCTCCAAGCTGTCCATCTCATGTCAATCACTGTTGTATTCTGTTGTTGTTGTTGTTAGATGCCATTTGCAGAGTAGAACTATTCCATAGGCTTCTCAAGGCTGTGACCTCCTTGAAGCAGATAGCCAGTCCTTTCTTCCAAAGTGCCTCTGAGTGAGTTTGAACTGCTAACCTTTCACTAGTATTTGAGCTCTTAACCATTTGTGCCACCCAGGGAGTGCACTGTCACATTCTGTTGTTGTTGTATCCCATTGAGTTGATTCTGATTCATAGTGACCCCATGGGACAGATTAGCATTGCCCCATAGAGTTTTCTAGGCTGTCGTCTTCATGAGAAAGACCCCTGGTGGTGCAGTGACTAAGCATTTGGCTGCTAACTGAAAGGTTGGTGGTTCAAAAAGTTGGGAAGAAGGTGGGGCAGTTCGACCCCACCCTCCAGGGTTGCTATGAGTTGGAATGGCCTCAGAGGTACCTGGAATCTTTGGGGGGCAGGTCTCCAGGTCTTTTCCACCATGGAGTTGCTGGTGGGTTTGAACCATCCACCTTTTGGTTAGCAGCTGAGTGCTTACCCGTTTGCACCACCAGGGCTCCTGTCAGTTTCTAGAAGGGGCTAAAGGCAAACAGTCCTGCCCCTCCATCACCCAGAACCTAGGGCTGGGGGCTCTCTTGGTGCTTCAGTAGAGCCTGTTCAATGCTCACTGAGCAGCTCTGGGACTGATGGACTTCACTGCCCGTATCCTGTGTGGCAGCCAGCGGTGAAGCACTTGGGTTACCCCGTTTTATTCCTCCCAACAGCCTTGTGAGGTTGGTACTGTTACTGTCCCATTTCACAGATGAGACCGAGGAACAGGAAGATGGAGGAACTTGTCTAAAGCTACCTGGGTAGTAATTAGCAGGATTAAAATTTTGTTGTTGAGCTTTCGTTTGAAAAGGGTTTCTCCACCTCAGCACTACGGCCATTCGGGACCAGGAAGAGTATTTGTCGTGGGGACTGTCCCGTGCATTGTGTTGAGGAGTGGCGGCTAATGAAAAGGTCAGCTGTTTGAACCCACCAACTGCTCCATGATGGAAAGATGAGGAAGCAGTCTGCTTCCTTAAAGATTTACAGTCTCAGAAACCCTCTGGGGGCAGTCCTACTCTGTCTTCTAGGGTTACTATGAGTCAGAATTGACTTGATGGTAGTGGAACTCACCAGACAGGAGCTCTGGTGGCACAGCGGTTAAAGCATTTGGCTGCTAACCAAAAGGTTGGCTATTTGTGGCAGTCTGCTTCTGTAAAGATTTGTAGCCTTGGAAACCCTACGGGGCAGTTTTACTCTGGTCTGTAGGGTCGTTGTGAGTTGGAATTGGCTCAATGGCAGTAGGTTTGGTTTTTGGTTTACCTGCCAGACACCAGAAGTACCTCCCGGTTCTGATAACCTAAAATGCCTCCAGACATCACCAAACATCCCACTGTTCTAAATTCTTTCCACTCTTCATTTTAATGGGCATCAGAGTCATTATGTTGTCTTTTATTACAGACAGGTTTATGTTGAAAAGTATTTTTTTGTTGTAGCGAAAAAATTCCAAACTTACAGAAAAGTCTTAAGTCCTGTACAAAGAACTTATTTTTCCTGAACCATTTGAGAGTCAGTTTTCTGACTTGATGACCTCTGAATACTTCAGTGTGCACTTCATATAAACAAGGGCATATTTTCACACGATTGTAATAAAACCAGGGGGTTCACAGTGATGCATGACCACCAGCTAATTCTTAGACCCACTGGCATTTGCTCACTTGTCCTGATAGTGTCCTATTGCCTCAGAAGAATACAGTTCAGAGGCACATGTTGCATTTCACCGTCCAATCTTTGTTGTCAGCTGGTGCTGAGTCGGCTCCAACAAATGGTGACCATCTGTGTAACAGAATGAAATGTTGCCCAGTCTTGTGTCATCATGGCCGTTGGTATGTTTGAATCCATTTACTTTCTTCAGTCTCCTTCCATCTGCAGCAGTTCCTCAGTCTTCCCCTTGACTTTCATAACCTTGACACTTGAGAAGAACGTCAGTGATTTTGTGGCTGTCCCTCACTTTGGGTTTGTCTGACATTTCCTTGCAGCTGCACTCAGGTTGTGCATCTCTGGCAGGAAGGTTGTAGAGGTGATGCTGCCCTCTGCTCATTGCAGCCTGCAGGGTTTCACTTTGTCCCTTTCCTGGTGATGTTCACTGTGTTCACTCAAGGGGGTGTCTTCCAGGTTTCTCACTGGAAAGTTATTATCTGCTCCCTGGTAATTACTCAATACTTTGTGGGAAGATCTTCAAGATCATACAGATAACCCGTTTTTCATCCAACCGTCATCTTATTCATTTACGTATCTACGTCTGTATGAGCTTATGGACTTTTATTCAATAGGCCATAATCTGTTACCATCATTGTTTTGATGTTCAAATTGTCCCTGATTAGGCCAGTGGAAGTTTCTGTGTCTCCTTGCCTTGCTCCCATCCTTCTTTGTTGGAAGATGTACCAGGTTCATCTTATACTTGACCTGCCCCAACTGGAGCCAGCATCTCTCCACACAGCCCTGGTAGGACCAGGATTTGAATCTAGGGATGTCTGCCACTAAAGCCTGGCTGAACTTCTGTATCAACTTCCTTCTTTGGGCTTGTTATGTTTCTGAATGACAGGCCAGAGAGGGCACGGGGCTGCAAGAGTTAGAACAAGGGCGATGGAAATGGAAGGGAGCTTTAAATCATGAGTCAGAGCCCATAGACTCCAGGAAAGTGGCCTTCAGAGCAGTCCTGGGATACTGGGCATTTGGTTGGGGGCAGGAAGGGGGCAACCAACGATCAGCATGTTCTGGACACGGGATTATGGGAAGATCGTTGTTCTTCCGAAAAACAAAACAAACCGATAAA